CATTCTCCCTCTTTATACTGTGCTGTACTGTACTTTTTTTTCATGTTTTTGTGGTTTAAAAATAAAATGGCGAAATGGAATGAGTGCCAGGATTTCCTTGAGAAGCACCACCCCAACAGAACGGCGAAATGGAATGAGTGCCAGGATTTCCTTGAGAAGCACCACCCCAACAGAACGGCGGATTAGCCGTATTTACATTGAACCTTATGGGAAAATTTACCTCGAGTTGCGACCAACTTGAGTTGCGACCAGAGTCACGGAACGGATTAAGTTTGTAACTAGAGGTACCACTGTATTCTGCTTTGTTCCTTTCTATTCTTGATTGCATATAGGTGCATAAAGAATCTTATTGTTAGGCCTCTTAATGAGAATTATCGAACAAAACTTTTAATGTAAACAAAATGTTAATATTATATTACTGATAGAATATTACTATTGATAGAATAGTGAATATTGGTATTCACTATTCTTAATATAATGTTATATCATATTTTTGATATATTTTAAATAAATGGTAAATGAGCTAATGAAATGTTCACTATACTGTAATATACTGTACTATAATCTATTTTTTGGAAATTTATACAATACAAATAAATTCCGTGAATGATATGATCTCAGATTATTTCAAGGATGCATTACATGACTTCAAAATTTTAACAAAAAATATTCAAATATATAAAATTACACCTCAGTGTAAAATACAAAAGAATATATTCAATAATAAAAGGGAAGAACATTGATTTTTATCTTCCCACACTTTTGCTCCCTCATGAACAGACTGCCAAAAAGAACCTTTGCTACTTGCCACATGATCTTGCAGTCTCTGTCTGCAAGTAAATAGCTTACAAAAATATCAAGTAGGGCACCTGGAAATGTGTGTACTAAGGGGGTTATCATGGTGTTAAGATATCGTTATAGAAGAGCAGTATGGAAAAATGTGGAGCAAAGTTTTAATCACACTTGCCCCTTATGGGCAGAGTCTTACTGAGTGTTCTTATGAATCCTCATGAATATCCATGAGAATTGCTTAAGGGAGGATGTTAAAATCTTCAAGGAAGAACACTGTATTACTTGGAAGAATAAGATGTTTGACACATCATGCCACCTGGAAACTATGAAGCTAAGTTTTAGCTACTATACTTGAGGCCTTCTACCTCGATCTTCCTGCATGTATATACTGGTAAGTCTATTTCAGTGCCTCTGGCTTAATTGTAGCTCACCTCCATCAGCCTCTGGGAGAAAGCTCTTTCTGCAACATTTATCATTTTTCAAGATGCATACAAAGAATCTACTAGTGTTAAAGGGGCCAGGCCTTGTTACATAAAAAAAATCAGCATTAATCAAAATGTTAAATATCTTCATCCAGGCCCTAGGCTCACCTGTAACATAATACCACATTTGAAATACAACACAGCACTTGAAACACTTTCTTCAGAAACTTGGTCTGAATGATCTTAAGTAGACGTGTCTTTTTTCCCAAACCAAACTCTACTCTATATAGAAGTTTCTCCAGGGGGTTAGCCACAAAATGCCTGATAGCAGCTGGAATAAATTGAAATCCCCTTGTGTTCTTTAATGCTCCTTGAGTCTTCTGGCTCCATATAAAAGTCTATTTTTTAATTACCAGATGAGTAGAAAATCATCCCTAGATACCACCTGCTTGAACTTCTACCCATTAATGATCCAGGTCAGGCTTCCAAGTTTTTTTGGAAACACTGTGATCTTACTTTTATTGAGGTGTATTCCCTACAACAGGGATAAGGATCAATATGCCCTCTTTAACCCTGTGGTGATATTGATTGGATCACTGCATAATCTGGGTACGGTAGCACTATCATGTGCCCATCTGCAATATTTGGGTGATGAAATCTTATTTTGGTTAAATGATGGACAATAGAATTAATGTATAAATTAAATAGCCATGGGACAATATACAAATAAATTATACAGTTTATCATACAATCATAGAAATGTTCCAAACAATTTTTAACATATAATGTCTGGTCATAATATAAAATGCCTAGCTTAAATGAACAATGGGGATTACATTTTTGCATACTTGACAAAGAATTCAATCATGTAATTCAATCATGCAGGAATAACTGGTATAAACTGTGCATGCATAATTCATAAAAGAACTAAACCGAATGTAAAACAAAATAAAGTCTTCTGCTGGGATACTAGTTGTTGAGGATAGCCTATCATGGTTAAAATAAGAAAGCTTTTCTTATCTTGCTGCTGTCCAATAATTAAATGTTTAAGTTTTAGTATTTGGAATTTATATTTAAACTTCTCAAATTAAAAATAAAAGGCAATGACAGGAAGCCTTTTGTGAAGTACCCCAATATTGTATAGCTTATTTTAAGAACTATGAATGCTTTGGAATATTCATTTTAGATCCTTTTTCTTATTTTATGTGGAATTCTAGTTTGTTTTAGCTAGAGCTAAAGAATTTTCTGTTTATGACTTGTTTGTTCTATGCATTTTTTCCTCCTGTCTAAACAGATTTTGTTGAAAATGTTTTCTAAGATTGACAGGAACAGAAGTAAATCATGAGCCGCTTACTATATGGAGTTATTACTGGAGAATTCATGAAGATTCTTACACTGAATTCACACTAGCAAAATGACCAAGTGAGAACTACCATGTATTAGTAGAAGAAACCTCTTAAAATATGTGAAATATTATCTTTAATGAAATATAATTTTAATAATCTATATAAAAGTTGCTGGTATGTTCAGATATTGAAATAAAAAAAATAGTTTGTTTAAGAGTGCAGATAATATTGTGGGATTAGAGAAGAGTAAATAAACCATTGGTATTAACACCAGTGCCCACTGCAGAAGGAATGAAAAGTCAACTACAATTGTTTGGAAAAATTTCAGAACAAATTTGTTATCAATCACTGATAACAGTCTACCAGACGTGTGCATAGAAGAATCTGTTCATAAATTATACTTTATAGAAGCACAGATATGAACTATAAGAATTAATTAGCTAAGTTTTTTAATGGTATATGGTAGGACAGACTTGTAAATAGAGATTTATAGTTAATCTGAACTAAGTAACAAGAGTTTCCAGGCAATTATACCGTAAACATACCATTACAAATTTACTAATACTAATGTTATGCTGGGGCCAAATAAGCTAATTACCTTTGCGAATTTACTTTCTGGGTATTCCTTGAAAACTATAAACTGATCAGGATAGTCTCCTTATGGTACACTAGCCTTACTTACCTAAGAAATTATATTTGTCTTGGAATAAACATACAGAGCGTCTCATGCTATGCATTGTCTGAAATGCCATCCCACCCCAACCCAGAAATAAGACTTTACAACAGTATTTGTAATTCTAGTCTTAATTCCCATTAAATTTTCGTATCCTTTTCTGTGCCTCTCCAAATGTTGTAGTGTATAATTCTCTGAGCTTTGAAAATGGTTTAAGGGAATGTAAGACAAAAGTTGGTGGAATCCAGACAAACTGTACATGTTCTTATGAAAAATCTGAGGTGGGGATGAGGATTAACTTTTCCTGGTAAGGGTCAGGTTCATACTGAAAATCAGGTTGCAACTTGGGATCATTCCTTGAACCTGCCTTGTCCCTGGCCCTTTAGATGATGTACTGGCAAGCAATGAGTTTTCACAAGCAATCTATTATGCCAGTTTATGCTGTTCCTGAATTAATCCAATAAAGAAAGAATTATCCATGCCTTGGACTTTTCACACAGATTACTGATATGCATTCCACATAGGACAGCTAGGAGTAGAACCGTAAAAAAATGATGCCTGTAACCCCCAACCTTCACAAATATCCAGAAGGTATATACCACACAATGCCCCCCATTCCCAATCCCTGAAGCTGGTCCAGAAGGATACCATGGTCAACGGTATCAAAAGCCACTGAGAGATCAAGGAGCACATGGATGAATGCACCATCTCCATCCTGGCTCTGTCACAGGTCATTTACAAGCATAACCAAGACTACCTCCATACTAAATCTCAGCCTAAAACTTGAAATGGTTCTAAATAATCCACTTCATCTAGGGTCCTCTGTAGCTGCAGTCCGGCCACTTCTCAACAACCTTCTCCGAAAAGGGATGACTTGGGTCAGATCCATGGTTGCCACTGAGGCCATAAACTCCTGCACTGCCCCAGACTCTATGCCACCAGGTGGCAGTTTGATATTCCCAAGGATCAAGAGCTTTGGGGACCAGCCCAGCAGTAGAGTTTAACAGCACAGGCAGGAATGATGCTGGGCAACAGAAGGGAAGCAGTACACCAGCAACAATTCCAACTGTTCCCTAGAGCCCAACTTGATTACTCTTTAGTAAAACTAAAAATAGGGATATCTCTAGGGGTGTGAACACTTCACAGAGTTAATGAAACCTGCTAGATTGAAGAGAATGAAATTTTAGAGCAGTAAATACCCTCAGTTCCTATGTAGCTCCAAATTATAGCTGGTAGTTCTGTCTATTCAAGTTGGTAGTTTGAAGCTTTAGTTACATCTGTTCCCCATATAGTTCCTGCATAATGATTATGTATTAATTATTGGTTACAAACTAAACCTATCTGTTCATAAACTTAATCTGTAGCAAAAGAATGGAGCAAAAGAATATACTCTAATATACCTTCTTGGAAGAATTGTCAGTTTGTTTTTTATCACACAATAATTGCCAACATATCAAAATATAAAGCTTAAAATATTTATTAAAGTTCTCTTTTCTCAATTTACAATATTTCAAATCTCTGGTTGGTGCAACTACTTAATACTTATGTTACTAATTTATATTGCTATTAAATAAAGGTACAGTCTTCTCTGTGGCAACTTCTGCTCTTGCTGAATTCATGGACCTGTCCATGTGGTTTTCTTTGCAATAGGATGGAAACAATGCTTTTCAACTTCCCAAGCTAACCTACAGCCCTTATATTCAGTGTAAGTCTCACATCCAAGTTCTTACCAAGCCTGCCCCTGCTTAGCTTCCCAATGCTTCAGATGTTGCCTCCTGCTGAAGTACATTATTGTTGTTATTCCCATATTTTCTCTTAAAGTATAGTTTTGACCTCTAAGAAAGTTCCAAACTAAGAGCATTTTTATATACTGGTAGTCCCTGGGTTACGATGGTAATTGGGACCGGAATTTCTGGTGCTAAATGATGCAGTCATAAAGTGCGATGTCATGTGACCACACCGCTTAGTGATGGCAATCCCAGCAGATCCCATTGCCATCGTTAACTGAATGCCACCGGTCTTTAGGCAAGGATCCACTCTGATCCAAGCCACCCCCAGCTTGGTCCCTCCCAGCCCCGAGCCTCAGTGAGGTAAGGGACTGTCTTCTCTTGAATTCCCCCACCAACCTATTTTCCTCCCATCTCTGTCCTTTTGGCTGCCCTGCACAGCGGCACTCCTCGGCGGCCAGCTGAGACTGCTGAAGGTCCCAGGCCCTTACTTCAGCCCCAGTGCCACTGCCGCTGCCAAGGAGTGCTGCTGTGCAGGGTGGCCAAAAGGGCAGAGATGGCGGGGGGGATAGACAGGTGGAGTTGAAGTGCCCCTGCAGTTGTAAGTGTAGGCAGGCTGTCAAGCACCCAAATTTTGGTCATGTGACTGCAGGGGCACTGCAACGGCCTTAACTTTGGAGACTGAGCAAAGGTACTATTTGTTCAGTGCCCCCATAACTTTGAATGGTCGCCGAACAAATGGTCATTAAGCAAGGACTACCTGCAATCGCTGAATGATAAACAAGCAGTAAGTTGCCTCACAAGTGCAGTCTTCAATTTTAAAATACATACGGGAGAGAAATGCGTCTATGTCAGGTATTTGAACAAGTACCATAAACTTCTGAGTTGATTAAAACCAAGTACTAAGCAACACATAACCATCCCAAAGCTTGCAGTATTCATGAGTATACCTACATATGTATGTGTCCATTATTACTTATAGGTGTGTGAATATATATATACACCACACATACATATGCATATGTGTCTGTGTGTGTCCCTCTGTGTGTGTGTTTTCATACACATATGCATGAACAGAGTACAAAGAGATACAGAGAAACAAGCACACCTGAAGGAAAAAAGGAAGATGCTCACGAATGGCAGCCAACATCACTGCAGGTAGTTCTTTTTCTTGCTGAAGCACAGCATGGGGCAAAAGCAAGCAATCTATTATACGGAACAAGAGGGGCTGTGCTTTGGAAGTAGCCAGTATGGCTGCCCAGGACTTCACAAGGCATCCTGTTGAAATAAAAACCAAGAAAACCAAAAGTCAAAATTGCAAAAAGAGAGGGGAAGCATGAACAAATTTTCTGCTGGGTTTCATTTCTACTGGTAACTATAGCAACCAGTCACATTTCCATATATCCCACTTAATAATCCTGGGGATAGTGAAAGTCCATTTATATAGTAAACTAAAAATGAGAGTTGTGAACTTTGGACTGAAACCAGATATGCTGGGGAACAGTATACTCAAACAAATAATGCTAATATATGCTACTTTTGTATTTTATCATATTTACTATTTGGCATGATCATTTTTAATGTGAATTGTTTTGCTTTTTGTTTTTAATAAAAAGCAGTAACATAATTGGTTAATAAAAGAACAAATAAATATGAAGCAAAGCATACATGCACATAACATTCAGCGACACATTCCCTAAGTAGCAAATATCACCAGGAAAAGAAGAGTCTTGCTTCAAATACATCAACAGAACACCTCACAGAAAGATGCAGACTGCATTAGTATGAAATGCTTGTCCCAATTTTGCTTCTTAGGCCAATTTTTTTAGGTCTGCACAAGACAATGAACCAAAATTAACACAATGAATTGACTTTGCATACCACAAGAAGACCAAAATAGGATTGGCTATTTTGTGGACGACTGTGTTACAACAGACTTAATATCCTGAAATTCCTTCTAAGGGAGATCTCTTTTCTGGGTTTCTTCATGCTGCTCTTCCAAATAATTATAACTGAAGGAATGACAGGTATAAGTTAAAATATTTTTATTTAATAAATTTTATACTATTTCCTAAGTAAGGGTCTTAAAGCAGAGTAGAGATAAAAAAGAATGTATTGTCGAAGGCTTTCACGGCTGGCATACGATGGCTGGTGTGGGTCTTCCGGG